CCACCCATCCTTGGGTGGGCCGTGGAGTGCGGAGCCCAGGGCAAAGTCTGAGTCGCAGCTCCCAAGCTGTGACAGCCGCAGACCAGCCCCACTGCCCAGAGTCAAGCTTCTGTCCATGCTGCTGCCTGGCGCTTCCCGTCCTCTGTCAACCCTAATCCTTCACCCGCTCACCTGGCAGCCGTGGCCGCTGAGGCTAGAGACCCCAGCACCCACCCGCGCCCTACCTTGCTGGCCAGGATGCGGGAGACCTCGTCGTCCACAGAGCCCGGGGCCACGGCCAGGTCAGGGTTGCTGCTGCTGATGCTCTTAGAGCGGGCCAGGTAGAGGCTGGTGGGGCGACCAGGGCCACGGGCCAGTGTGGCAGGCTGCACCGCCACTGGAGGGGCCCCTGAGGATGGCGGCAAGATGGTCAGCCCCCTGCCCCTTCCCGGCCGGCTGGCCTGGGTACAGTCACTTTCTGTCTCTGAGCCTCAGTCTTCTCGCCTATAAAATGGGCGTGCTGGTGGCTGCCACCTCATAGTGATTTGGGGGAGATGGACAAAGCCCAAGAACAGTGCCTGGCACGTGGTCAGTGCCCAGAGGGGCTAGAGGTTAGTATTAATTACTTAGCAAATAGAAAAGGATCCAACTGCATTGAGCATTCACCGTATCAAGCCTGTTATACGGATTAGACCTCAATTACTATTACCAGTGCCCCCATGAAGGGATGACCGTTATTATCCTTGTTTTACAAATGGAAAACAGACCCAGAGAGGTGAAGTCACTTGCCCCCACTAGCCTGGCCTCAGGGTCACAGCATTTGTAGGAAGCAGAGCTGGGATTTGAGCTTGGGCAGCCCAGCTGCGTCTCTGCTTCAACTTACTTCAGATGCTTGTTGACTGGCTGAATGACCCACCAGTCAAGCAACAAAGACCACCAGCCTGGGGAGGGGAGGAGTGAATAAAAAACTCTCTCTCTTGCAAGTTGCCCAAACCAGCCAAGGTCTGTACGGCCTCCAGGCTTTTGCACATGCTGTTCCTTCTGACTGGGATGCTCTCCTCCCAGATATGTCCTGTCCCCCAGGGGCCTCCCACTAACACTTACCACTTGGGAGGCTGGGCTCGGTGCCAGGCAGTCGGAAGGCATAGTGGACATAGGCAGCCAGCAGCGGGCAGTGACCACGGGCATCCTGGGCAGCCTCTAGACTCCGGTGGACAAGGCTGACCACATGGGCCATTGCTTCAAAGGCCCCACGACCTAAGTTCACTGCCGGGCGGAGCAGAGGTCAAGTGCTAAAGCCCAGGGCCTTCTACCTCCCTAAGGAACCTCCTATCTCCCACCTTTCCAAGGGGTCGTGGGGCCAAAGGGTCACAAGTGGCTGGGAGCCATTTTTCAGAAAGGAAAACCGAGGCCAGAAAGATAAGTGGGCTGGAGAAGGTCACCCAGGTCCAGGGGACTGAGCGGCCGGCCCTCTTCCAGACAGGGAAACTGGGGTCTGAGGCTGTGCCCGCTCACCAATCTGACCGCCAATGATTGGAGGCCGCACGACCAGACGGACGAGCTTGTCCAACACGTGGTGGGAGAAGGCAACAAGGGGCTCGGGGCTGGCGAGGCGCAGGGCTGCTAGGCTGGCCCGCATCTCCTGCTCCACGGTGCTCTCACTCAGCACGGTGTCCTTGAGGCGGAATGGGAAGGCCCCCTCCTCCAGCACGTGCACCAGAGTGAAGAACTTGTCCAGGTGAGGGTCCTGGGGGTGGGGGGGAGCCGGGGTGAGCAGGGCGGGGGGCCAGGGTTCCATGGCTGGGAAGGCCCTGGACGGTTGGGGGTGGTGCTCAGTGGGCAGAAAACCAAGGCCGGGGATCAATAAACTGACTATAAATGAGGAAAGGGATGAGCTAGGAGCTGGAGGGAGGAGAGGGGGCGGAGGAGTGACCACAGAAGCGGCGAGGGACACACGTGGGGAGGAGAAACCATGCAAAGGGCCAAAGCCCCAGCCGGGATGGCCACTGGCATGGCCGCCCCCGCCTGAGTCAGCAGCTTCCCTGGGAGCAGGGCCTCGCTGACCAAAGTCATGTCCGTGGCCCGAGGCCAGGCCTCCCCGGTCAGCGGCACTGTTGCTCAACCCCAGGCCCGGGCTCCTCAGTTCCCCCCAACCCCCTACCTGCGGGTGCACAGAGGACACGGCAGTGAGCTCCACGCTGAACACGCCCTTGTGGCCATCCACCCAGCGCATGCCCGGCAGCGCCACCTGCAGGAGGGACACGCCAGGTGGGCATTGGCCCGCCCTCCTGGGCCCATAGCGCCACCGGCCCCAGCCACTGCAATACTGTGGGTGTAGCCCAGCCCCACCGGTGGGAGCAGCCGGGCGCCAACCCGGGGGAACGCAGATGGGAGGGAGCACTATGGGGGTCCCCTGGGCAGGCTGGAAGCCTGGGGTACAAACGGAGAAACAGACAATGGAGGCCTGGGGTGCACGTTACTGAAGGGAATGAATTGGGAAAGAGCATGATGAGAGAACTTGAGGCCCCCAGGGCATTAATGACAGCTCAAGGGTAAGTGGGAGGGTGACAGCATTAATGGGGGTGATGGGCCCTGGAAGAACTACTGGGGGGATCATGGTCAGGGAGGCAGGCAGGGCTGCGAATGGGGCACTGGAGCAGAAAGACAGTGAATGGTGACAGAAAGACAGGGAATGGTGAGTGCAGGGGCAGGAGGTGGTAATGAGGCCAGGCTAGTGGGGGACAGGGACATGTGAGGACAGTCGGACACACAGAAGCAGTAATGGGGGGGATGGAGCAGCCAGGGGCCCCGGAGGCCCTAAAAGAGGGCAACAAAGCTCCCAGGGGTATTCATGGGAGGGAAGGCATGGCACAGATCGGGAACCATGTGGTGGAAGCCTAGGGAGTATTGTCGGGGGACAAGGCATTGGGAGGGGAGGCAGGGGGCCAGGGCACATACATCTGGTGTGAGCACGGAGTAGCTGGGTGGGAGCTGGTCCACAGACACAGGGAGGCAGAAGGGGCCGGTCCTCAGGCGGCCATGCTGCAGCAGGGGGATCCACTGGGGAGAGGCTGGGGGTCAGGTCTGGGGCCAAACAGGGGGTGAGCGGGGCTGGGGGTGGGGTTGAGGGCTGGCGGGGGTCTCACAGTGAAGCCCACGGGAGTCTCCAGCGCTGTGCCCGGCCGGGGCTGGCAGCTGACGTGGTAGAAGGTGAACAGCAGGTGGTGGTTCTCGGTCACACAGGCTGGAAGACGCAGCTTGAACTCCTCGTAGAACTCTGGGGACCTGGCATGGGGCTCTGCTGGGGGCGGGGACCCCCCTGGCCCTCCCCACCCCCTCTTGCAAGTCAGACCCCAGTGCTGCCTGGCCCCACGGTCTGCTCTCGGCCTCAGGATCCCCCACCGGCTCTCCTAGCGGCAGCCTCCTCCCCTCCTGCTGCCCCACCGCGTCCCCACCGCCGGCCCCGTCCCGCCACCCCGCATACTTGTTGTGGTAGACCACTGGGGTAAAGGCCTCTCGGGTGAACTCACTGCAGCTGGACTTGCCAAAGATGACCTGGGGGAGGGTGAGCGTGAGGGGCCCCCCGGGATGCCCCAGCCAGGACCCCCGCCCCCACCCCCGGCGCGGCCACTGACCGGCAGGGCCTGGCTGGGGTCCTCGCCCGCCATGTACTGCACTCGCACGGTGAGGTTGCGCACTGAGCCCTGGCGGCTACTGAAGTTAAGGCAGTGTGGGTACACGTACAGCAGGTTCCTGGGGGGGCAAGGGGGCATCAGAAGGACAGGCGGGGCTGGGCTTCCGGCGCAAGCCTGGCCTGGGACGCGGGGCGGGGGGAGGGGGCATCGATGGCCACGTAGCTGGGGCACTGAGGGCAGCGTATGGGGCAATTATGGGCACCGGGCGAGAGATGTCACTGGCAGAGAGTGGGGGACAGGTGGGCACCCTCAGAGCATAGATGGGGGAACAGTACAGCAGAGGGTGGGGACACAGAGGGACTCTGGGGGCACTGAGGCATGGGGGGGTGCCAAGCAGGGACAGATGGGTGCTCAGGGTCGGGGTTCCAAGAAGGTGGCCCAGGCGGCCAGCAGTCAGGCCCGAGCCCCCACTTGGGCTGACCCGCCCCTTCCCCCCCGCTCAGGGGCCTGACTGCCCTTCCCCCAGGAGAAGCTGCTAGAGTTACGAGGCCTGCGTCTTAGGTGGAGAAACTGAGGCCAGAATCAGAAGTGGGGCTGGGCTAAAGTCAGAGTTCTGCCTCTCCCTCTCACGGCTAACTCTCTGTGCAAGCCCCAACCTCCTTCGGGGCCTCAGTTTCCCTATCTGTATAACAGGGGCATCGAGCCTCCCAGCTTAGCCTTCGTATTAATACCAGTAATAAGAAAACAAGGGGAGCAACAAGGATTGTACCAAACGTTAACATGGAACCTAGTTCAGGCCCAGCTCTATTCTAAGCGCTCAGCATGAGAAACAGCTCATTTACTTCTCCAAGCAGCCAAAGAGGGGGGATGAACGTTCCTCCCATTTTACGGTGCATATGTGTGTGGGGGGGGCGGGGGGGGAGAATAGAGGCACTTGCCCACAGTCACCCAAGGAGCAGAAATGGCAGCTAGCCCTGATCCGGGGCACACACGGGGCCTGCAGTCAGGCTGTGCGGCCTTGGGAGAGTCTCTGCCCCCTGCACCCCCTCCCCCAAACCATCCGCGCTAAGACGCTCACTATTCTCACTGATATGGCTACCATGTCTGTCACTGTTGTCATCCCTTCCACGGGTGGGGAAACTGAGGCTCCGAGCTTCAGGTTTCCCTGCGGGGCCTGGGCCTGTCCTCGACCAGTGCCCCCCCCAGTCCACAGCTGGCCCCAAGCCCCAGCCGGCGTGTGATCTCAGCGTGGCCTCACCGGACGTTCGCCTGATGCAACTGTCATGCCACCGCCAGGCCCTTGCACAACCCGGGGCGTCCAGCGGGCCGGTTAACGATTGACCGGGGGTTAACAGGGTGCTGGGGCATAAAAGGCGGTGGCAGTGGCGCCGTGGCCGCACCCTCAGAGCCTCAGCCATGCCCAAGCTCGCACTGTGCCTTTTGTGTGCTCTGGCCACGGTGGCCCAGCCCGCCTCTGCAGCGCCCGTTGGGGGCCTGGAGCTGGCACAACATGAGGAGCTGACCCTCCTCTTCCACGGGGCCCTGCAGCTGGGTCAGGCCCTCAACGGTGTGTACAGGACCACGGAGGCACGGCTAACAAAGGCTGGGCACAGCCTGGGCCTCTATAGCCGTGTGCTGGGCCTTCTGGGGCAGGAGGTCAGCCGGGGCCGGGATGCAGCCCAGGAGCTACGCACAAGCCTGCTGGAGATGCAGGTGGGCACTGCAGTTGGGGCATCGTGGGGTGGGTAGGAGTTTGCGGTGGAGTTGTCTAGGGTAACCAACTGTCTGGGTTTGCCAAGGATTGAGGGGGGGATGGCATCCCTGGAATATAGGACTTTCGGTGTTAAAATTAAGCAAGTCCCAGGCAAACAAACAAAGACAAGTTGGTCATCCTACTAACATCCGCTATTTATCGCTCAGATGGAGGAGGATGCTCTGAAGCTGCAAGCAGAGGCCACGGCCCAGGCGCTAGGGGAGGTGGCCCAGGGACAACAGGTGCTGCGGGAGAGCATGCAGCAGCTGGAAGTCCGGCTGAGGGGCGCTTGGCTGGGCCATGCCCAGCAAGAATTTGAGGCCTTAAAGGTAAGAGCCTCCCGGCCCCGGTGGAGTGGAGACTCTGATTTCCCACAAAGAACTCACTTCTGAGCCTTGAGTCCCAGAGACATCTTCAGATCAGCCTCCCAGTGCCATGGCCTCTAACCTATGTGACCCTGGGCAAAACCCCGGTCCCTTCCCATGCCTCAGTTTCCCCATTTGCAAATAAGGGCAACAATTCACGTCTCAGAGCAGAGACAGGGACTCAACACAGATAAAATACTCAGCAGGGGGCAGGGGCTATGGAAGTTACTCAACAAATGTATACTATCAGAGTAACTGGTAGTGTTTCTTGTGTGCCCAGGAACTACCCAGCCATGCCTCTTAATAATTCATATCATGCTTATAACCCCCCCAAGAAGCAAGTCCTCTGTCATCCCCATTTAACAGATGGGGAAGTTGAGGCCACAGAGTAGCAGTGACTTGTTAGGTCATACAGATGCAGCTGGGGGTGGACAGCCCTGGGCAGGGTCGGGGGATGGGAGGTGAGTGGGCCCCAGCTGAGGTTTCTGTCCTGACCCCACAGGCCCACGCTGACAAGCAGAGCCACATCGTGTGGGCGCTCACAGGCCATGTGCAGCGACAGAGGCGGGAGATGGCCGCACAGCAGCATCGGCTACGAAAGATCCAGGAGAGGTGAGGCTGAAGGGGACTGGTTGGGCGGGGCTGCTGGATGGGAGGTGTACAGGGCACCCGGATGGGGGACCCCTTTGCCTTGGCTGAGCCTCATCTCCCTTCCAGACTCCATACAGCGGCGCTCCCAGCCTGAGCCTGCCTGGGTGGAACTGAGGACCAGTCTACACAGAGGGGCGCTGCCATACCCCACGCGGCCCCTGCACAAAGAGGAGCTGCCTGCCCCCTGGGGTCGGCCAGGGTGCCGGGGCCTGCTTCTGGCCACGGAGGAGAGACGGAAGCAGGCGGGGACACAGACAGAGGACACGGCCCCGTTGAGGAGGGGTGGAGGCAGGACATGGGACCCTTCATGCGTACACACCCCTCCATTAAAGCAGAGTAGTGGTATCTCACTCTGGTTGTCTGTGTGTGTCTGGGAGAAACGGTACCTCGCTCTGCATGATGCACGAATACCCCCCCATTCAAGTGCCCAGCTGGGCCCTGGGGGCTGTACCTGTAGCTGGTGTGGGGGGCATAGACCTCACGGGCAGGGAACTCCAGGATCTCCTTGGTGGGCCGGCCCCTGGGGTCTGGGTAGGGCTTGACATGAAGCAGCTCCGGGGAGAGGCAGAAGTGTGGGTTCTCAGGGGCCGGGGAAATGTCGATCTTGAGCTGGGCTGGGGAGAGAGGAGTGCGTTTGCACCTGCCCAGGAGCCTCCCACCCCCAGCCCCACCCTCTCCGGGCTTCAGGGCTGGGGCTCTGACTTTTCCATGATGCCCTCTAGTGGCTGTCCTTCAGGTGCTAAGGCCAGAAGTCACCCTCGATTGCTGTACCTTGCCTCCACATTTGATCAGCTCTACCCTCAGGACCCATGTCCCCACTGCCACCATGTCCCCCATTTGACCCACTATCCCTCTTACTATGTTTCTTGTCTATGATGCCCATTAAAGATCCAGCCCCTGACGTCAGGGATTTGTGCATCCGGTCCCCCGTGGGTCCCCGGGGCCTGGCAGAGCAGGTGCTCAGTGTGGGTTTGCTGAGTGACTACATGGAAGTGCCAGCTCTTATTTACGGGGTGCACCACGCACCAGTCACAGGCCGCAGGCGCCGCAGGACAGAAGACGGGCGCCGCATGTCAGCCAGGAACTTGAAGAGGTCCTCATCACTGAGCCGCTCGGCCTCCTGCACGGGACATGCCCACGTAAACTGGGTCCCTGGGGCCCGTGCGCCCACAGCGGGGTAACGGGGGCCTGTCCCTGGGAAACCCTCCCCCAGCCCCACGGCCATGGCACCTGCTTAAAGAAGTTGGTGACAGTTAGTGTGGCTGGGCGGAATCCAGAGAAGCTGCAGGTGTCATCCCCACTACTTGTCCGATCCTGGGGCCCGCGCCGGCGGCGGTCAGTCCAGACAGGTCGCCGCTCTAGGGGAGGCAGTGATGGAGATGGAGGGGGCAGAGATGAAAGGGAGGCGGGGAGGGCCAGAGAGACACGCAGACTCGACCTTGTACCAAGTCTGGCCAGCAGAGGGCGCCCCTTCCCCTCCCAGTAGCCCCGCCCCTGGCCAGGCAGCCCCGCCTCCTCACCGCCCTCGGAGTCCGAGTCGCGGTCCGACTGCCCCGCGCTGCTCACGATGTTGGCCAGGTGGACCGCGGTCCAGGCGAAGGGCATGCGGTAGCGGCCCAGGCGGGTGCAGAACTGCTCGGCCGCCAGGCGCAGCTTCTCCAGCTTCTCTTTGTTCTGTGGGGAGACCCCCCCAACACACCCCACAAGCTCAGTGCCCCAGGCCTACTGAATCCAGGACCTGCCCTGCCCGGTGACCCCTTCACCACCCCGCTCGGCCTCCACAGGCTTACCTTGGCCGTGTCCACCTCCTTCATCACCATGTAGGGCTCGCAGCACTCGCTGATGTCCCCCTGCTGCAATACTTTCTCCAGCTGAGGGGCAGGCAGGGCCAGTGAGGCCCTGTCCGGACCCCAACCTCCCACCCCATTTCCAATCGCTGGGCGCCCTCGTAGGCCCTCAGACACTCCATCCAGCTAGGGCTCTCGCTCCAACACCTCCCATGGCTCCCACTGCCCTCCGGATTGAGCACTAGCAGTTGGCGTGCCCGGTCAGCTGCCCTCTCCCCAATCCTTTGAACCCACTCCAAACCCAAGTCTCCATATTTTCTCTACATTGATATTTTTGTTAATATACAAAGAGACCACTCCAAGCATGGCCGGATGCCAATCCTGACCACTTGGGGGCTGTGGGAGCCTAAATAGGTCCCTAACCCATTCTGTACCTCAGTTTCCCCAACCGTAAAATGGAGGCCACAGCAACCCCCACCCCCTGAGGCTGCTGTGAGGTTAAAGGTGGGAATCCCCGTGTAGTCTGACTGACCATGAGCAGTGCCTGCCTGTAGGTGCTCAATTAGTGTCATTAGCGTAAAACCTAACTGAACGTCTTGGCAAAGGAAATTTGAGCCCACTCCTAGAAACAGAAAATCTCACACAAATGTGCCAACTAGGTCTTTCTCCCCTAATAAACCGAAAAACTCTCAACTTAAAAAACATCCTAAATGTCCATCTGCACGTGTCAGGCCGCCCACTCACGGGTCTTGGCTTAGCAGTCACCTCTCCACAGAAGCCCTCCGTGATTTCTCCCCACCTGGGTTGGGTCAGGAGCCTCCTCTGGGCTACCCAGCTGCCTGTGCTTCCCCCACAAGAGACTTGATCACCCTTCTTGGTGACCTGGCCATCCTCTTCCATGAAAGCAGGGACCACCCTCCGGCATTTACCATTATCACCCCCTGACCCAGCCCCAGCAGGCACCTTGATGACCAGGAAGATGTCAGGTGAAGGGTAGGTCACGGAGAAGATGGCGGAGCGGGCCAGGGTGGAGATGGCGGGGTGGGTGCCATGGGCCCGCAGCAGCCCCTTCATGGAGTCCGAGTTCAGGTCAAAGTAGAAGTTTTCTGAGATCTGGGGACATGAAAGGCAGCTGGGCCACCACCTCCAGGAAGCCCACTGCCCTGCAACAAGGATGAAGGTTGGGGCAGGAAAGGGAAGAAAGAGGCTCCTACCTTCTTTTTCTCCCGCACATCATACAGGGCCAAGATGCCAAAGATGGGCTCAATTTCGATCTCAAACCTACAGTGAATGGGAAGACTCTGGCAGAGGCTGTCCCTAACACTCCCACCACCCACACACCCCACTCCCGCTTGAGACCCAGCCCAGACTTGGTGCATTATGGTGCTGGTGGGGACTAATTTCCATTGGTCCATCAAGAATCGCTACTTAAGGGCATGTAGGAAAAGCCTGTCCCATTTTGCAAAAGGGGAAACTGAGCCACTGAGATCCTCCCCCCAACCCCGGCCCCGTAACTCACGCAGAGCCCTTCCCCTGAAACTACGGCCCTTGTTCAGTTGATACAGAGGAAGCTTTTGGCACAACAATGCCCCCCATCTTGAAGTTCTCAACTCCTGGGCTTCCCTGTCCCCCCTTTCTGGGGTGTCCTTTGCCACCCTGGGCTCAGGCCCATCTTCACTCCCCTGAACAGTCCCTATAATCACCTCCCTGTCTTACTGTGCCCTGCTGGCTCCCACTCATCATGCGCGTCTAAGGAAGCATCTTAAAACTTACAGTTTGAGGCTCCCCAGTGTGCTGAGAACAAAATCCTGCATGGTCCATCCCTGCCCACCTCTTGGCCTCATTTTCTCCCCTCCAGACATCTCCCAGCCTTTGGGTGTACCATGTCCCCCCACCTAGAGAGCCCTGTGTGGTCATCCCATGGTTACATGTCCTGTACACAGTAGGTGCTCAATGAATGTTTGCTGAATGACTGGATACTCATAGAGCTGGTTCCCAGCCCTAGTGCTTGGGGCAGGCAGCCCACCTGGGCCTCAGGCCAGACCAGGACCTCCCTTTCCTGCCCCCATCCAGGCAGGAACTCAGGGTGGGGAGGGGCAGGGCTGGGCTTAGGTCCAAGGCCACATCCTGTTCAGCTTCATTCCCACGCACTTCTGGCTGCTCCCAGGGACCGATGTGGAGGGAGCCTCGGTCAGCTGGAAGCTAGGTCCGGGTCTCCAGCGCCCCCGCCAGCCTGGGTCCCAGCAGAGCGAGAGCCAGACTCTGGCCTCACAAGTCATGTGATCTCAAGCACAATGACTGCCACTCTGTGCCTCGGTTTTCCCCCCAACCCACGCCTATCCCACAAGATTAGGGGTAATGCATGTGAAGGGCTGAGAACGGAGCCTGGCATATAGTTGGTGCTTAAGGCCTGGTGGCTTTGAAGAACGAGAAAAGGAAGTCTTATTTCCCATCTAAAAGTGCTCGGACCTCCTCATGGGTCTCAGGGCTGCACACAGTCATGGCCCAGTTTGGGCAACGGGCACCATGTGTGCGCGCACCGGAACCTACATGGGGCCTCGCACGTCTGAAGGGAGGGGGTGGGTCAGCACACTCACTTCAGTGACAGACACTTGACCAGGATCCTCTGTCCAAAGTGTTCACGGGGCGGCTCGGGGCGGCTGCAGCGTTCCACAGCCTCGTCCTGCCAAGAGCCAGGGAGGGCAGCTGGGACACGTCCTTTAAGAAGGGCTTGGAATGCGTGGCTTGAGACCAGCTCTACCCCCAGCCTGACTAAAGTTTCTTGCAGTCCCTTTTATTCCCCCTGCCTGGATGCCCTTCCTTGTCCCCTCCTCATCCAGAGCCGGCACTTCCTCCAGGAAGCCTTCCCTGACCCCTGAGGCCTGAGCAGACTCCCCGTCCAGGTGTTCACCGTACCCGATTGCAAAGGGCCACATGGCCGGGACAGAGAGGGCCATGTGAGGGCCAACATCCGGCAACTCATCACAGCACCACTTGGCCTGGGTTGAGATTTCTTGGGAGGAGGGTCTCTCCCCCACTACACTGTGAACTCTGAGGGCAGGGACTGAGTCTATCCTGTTCACGTTGTACCTCCAAGGCCTGCCATACATGTTGGTCAAATAAATACGGAGGCATACAGTAGGGACCTACTAAGAGGTGGTTAGATAAACATAGATGTCTACAGAAAACATTTGATTAATGCTGACTGGACATACAGAGGGATATATACTAGGCCCCAGGTAAGTACTTATTGAATAAACATAGGAGTATACAGTAAGCACTCAATAAATGGCTGAATGAAAACAGAGGTGTATACACCAGGTTCCCAATAAAAGTTGGTTGGGTAGGGGTGCCTGGCTGGCTCAGTTGGTAGAGCCCTCAATTCTTGATCTCAGAGTTGTGTGCTCAAGCTCCATGTTGGGCATAGACATTACTTAAAAACAAAGTTGGTAGGGTTAACATAAGTACTCAAGACATACGAGTTGCTATATAAAGGATTATACAATAGGCATATAATTAACATCGGTTGAATAGAGAAGTATATAATAGGTGCCCA